GGTGATCAATCGCAATGTGGTCAAACGGGTCCCATCCAACGATTCCTCGTCTAAGGAACATTACGATTTGTGCGTAGTATCGACTTTTGATAAAAGTATTTATTTAAATTCTGCAAATATTTTTCTATTGACATAATAACTAATAATCGTGACAACCGTTCTAAGTATTTCACTATCCACGTTTTGCGTTGCACATAGAACATATACTACTGGAAAAGGAATAGGGTGCTGAACGTGGAGCCAACATCTGTGCGAGAGAGAAAGATATAGAGTCCCAAATGTTCGCAATGCGCATGCGCAGCACTGTCGTCTGTGTAAATTGTACTGTTGGTTTAGTGTTTCTTACATATTCGTACATTACACAGATGTGTAAGACGACGGTGCTGTATGGTGCTGCGCATGCGCAATGCGAATATTTGAGACTCTCTAGTTTTCTCTCTAACACAGATATTGGCTTCACGTCTGATATATAAATGGCATAGACAATTCCTCTTCCAGTAGTATATGTTCTAAGGCGTTGCGTTACTAAACTAAACAATGTCGTATAATCTAGATATCTCTAACGTTCGTGCAGTGTCTTTCGGATGAAGTTTGCTGTGTGGATGTTATTGTAAAAAGTCTTTCTCTCTATACTTTAACTTACCGACAAATTTAATATTTTTTCGAGTCTTTCATTAATGTTTGATCCTCTTCTCGGCCGCATTAACAAAAATATTTCACGAACACCTGGACAAGATCGCAATATCTTTTCGATAAAAGCTTTACCTAGAAATCCTGTTGCACCTGTCAAAAGTATACTTTGTCCATTGTAAAATGCAGGAATCGATTTAGTTGGATCAACAGTCATCTTGTCAATTATTTTTGAAATAAATCTAATCTACAAACAACTATTTGCAATGCAATGCAAAACGTTAAAGATTGTAAAACGCGGAATGGTTTTTGTTTGGTCGATAGAATATGTATATAGTTTGATTAAATGCTTATACCTACGATCAAATACTACACACAAATTAAGCCATTTAAGTCTTTTATAGTCGTAAATTAAACGAAGTTTACCTGCTTTAATGAATCGGAAACAGTTACAGTTTTGCAATCTAATGTTAAAAGGTCAAGCCGTAATGAATGTTTAGTCTTAAAACAATCACGATGAAAGAAGGTCACATCAACGCTTCTTTTATATTTGAATGTTTCAATTTTCATATACTAAAAATTTCATTTACACTTCTGTTACTCTCCCATTACATTCGCCTTAGGCTCCAATTTCTATTTTCATCAGGGAACAATGATGTAAAAGTTATATAATGTAATATTTTATATTATATTATACGTTTTATTTACTATAGAATTTTACTGTATTTAACAGTATTTTACTGTGTTTACTGCATTTTCTGTATTTACTTTATTATTTAACCTTTCTGTTAATGCATAATTTGTTATTTTTTTTTACTACTTTGTTTTTTCCCTAAAAATGAGAAAATAAAAACAAGATAGTATAAAACTATTTTTTGTTATCCGAAGTACGGAGATTTGATGCGATATAACAAAACTCTTACACAATTATTAAACTATTTTTAGAGGTCCACCGAGGTCCACCTCACAATCAGACAAGGGTTGGATTAGGTTAAGATTAAATCGGAATGGCGATACAAGGGAAGGGATGGACATTGTAATTTAAGGAAACGTTATTGTAATAACATTTATAATAATTTCTACAACATATTTAATAAATATACAACATATGGAACATTTAATGACAGTTTTACTTTAAATACATTCCAATTCTTTTTTACATAATATTTATTTATAAAATTTTGATATTCTGAATATGAGATAACTTTATTTAATAATGATTTACGTAATGTAAATCATTTATGAAAAAATTAATCCTTTTATTAATGATTTAATATAATATTTTAATAATGTTTTTTAAAGATTTGGACAATTTTGTGTTATGCTTTCTTATAAATACTCCACATAGCACTCCTTGTCCGAGGGACATCACCATTTGTGCGTAATAGTCGATCTTATTGTTAGATATGCCTAAGTATTCAAACTCTACAAATATTTTTCTCGATATAATAACCATGAAAATCAAGTATTTTATTACGCTTTGTGTTGCATTGCTAAGCTAAACAATGTCGTATAGATATCTAACGATTGTGCGATGTTTCATTCCTCGGATGGAATGTACTGTGTGGGATATTATAAAAGTTTTTCTTTCTATACTTAACTTGCCGGTAAATTTAATATTTTTTTGATTCTTTCATTAATACTTGACTTTCTTTTCGCCCGTATTAACAGAAATATTTCACGAACATCTGGGCAAGATCGTAATATCTTTTCGATAAAAACTTTACCCAAAAATCGTATTGCACCTGTCAAAAGTATTATATTTTGTCTAGCATAAAATGTAGGAATCGACTTGGCTGGATCAACAGTCATCTTGTCAATTACTTTTCAAATTAAATTAATACAAACAACGCAGTGCAATGCAACGTATATTGAAAAATTTGGAATAGTTGTTGCTTTTGTTATGTCGATAAAAATATGTATAAAATATGTATAAAAATATTTATATAGTTCGAATGAATGCTTATATCTGCGATCAACTTACGCACAAATTGTATTATTACTTTTTTATACCCGTAAGGTAATGAAGTCTATGCTTTATTAAATCGGAAATGACTACAATTATGCGATCTAATGTTTAAGGTTCAAGGCCGGTAATGTGTATCTCTTTTGAATATAAAACATAACAACAAAATAATCTACTACATAAAATATAGAAAATTTTTTTAATCAGACTCCTTTTATTAAAATAAATACAAAAAAATCAGGCCATAGGAATAAACACGCAAGTTATTAGTAAAGCGGAATTATTCACAAACAATTTTAACCTAGAACGTTTCGACTCTCGGTTTGAGTCATCTTCAGCTAATCATAGTTAAAAAATTATTTAATCTAAAACAATTTCACGCGTTGCAATAGTATCGCATCGCCAACATCTGAAGCGCATCGGACAATGTTCAACAAATTAGAGTATGAGGCTCTGAGCAATCGTCCAACGCAGTTGCATAGCTGGGTTGAAAAAATTCTTCAGCCCATATCTCCAACATGGTCACAATTCTTATAATAATTCGAGTTATAAACTTAAAAAATTGCACAGTTTTGAAAGCATCTAGTCGTTATAACTGATCATGACTTCAGTAATCTTAAAGTTTTTTGATAAATTAGTTTTTCATATTCTCTATTTCGATATTTCCAATATTTCTTTTCTTTTTTTTCTTTTTCTTTCATTCTTATTTGAGTTTAATTTCTGGCACTTATATTCTCGATGTAGGGGAGCTCACCATGACAAGATAACTTTTATTCACAGTTTATATATGTTAGTTTGTGTTGTCTCTGAAGAAGGCTCAAAAGTGAGCCGAAACATGTAAACGCGTTTAGTAGAATAAAGAAGTTTTACGCTTTATGGGTATATTATTTGCGCGACATCTTCTGCGCCTGACTCCTATTGCCCTTATTCTTTCTAATTTCTTTTGAAATAAATATACATTTGTGCGTGGAAGAGAAAGAAAGCGAAGATACTGAGTGAATGTAAAAGAAGTGAGTGTAAGCCACACCAACAGATCTAATTTATACGTTCTCAAGTGATTACATCAAATTGAGACTATGGGTGGTATTCATAGTCCATTCTTATTTCAAGACGGTCTTAAAGTAATGTCTTAAGACGCTAATACGCCCCTGTTATTGCTTCTTAACTTCTTAAGACTGTACTTAAGACAGTTTTGAATATAAGGTCTGACTACTGGCCTATGATTTTCAGTTACAAAGGACGGACTTCAAAGGGAGACAATAAGATACAAATGGCATTTACAGCAGCATTTTACTTCAAATATATTTTTCATGCTTTCGATTTAATTACGATATCTTAATTTATTTATAAAATCTTAATTATTAAAAATAAAATATCTTCTTTATTATTTAAAAACAAAATCGTTTTAATTAAACTTTTCTAAGAATTCAGTTATAAACGTTTTTAAAGGAATAAATTTTGACTAATATAATTTAGAATAATGAAGAATTGTATATTGTCGTTTAATAGCCTTGAAAACTTAATAAACAAAATATTCCTCACATATACATATAATAAACAAATTGTTTTTCACATATATAATAAACAATACCCTCGCCCTTTTCCTCTTCTAATTCTAAGCAGCATGTATAAGAGGAATTCTTCAGAGAAGTAATTCAGTATCAGCTCTTTGCCCTGATAAAGTGAACTGTAATACTCATGAAATGTTGACATTCTAATAACAATCTAGACACATAGATAATATGTAAAACGCATAACTTCTGAATAGAAATTACCCGTAGAAGCATCACAAGTATTATCAAATAAATAAAATATCAATTAAAAATTAAGGATAAACAGATTGGAATTGGAAATTGAAGTGAATGATGTACAGATTTTTTTTATATTTATATATATATCGTGTGTATATATTATAAGCTTAACTTTTTAATAAATAATTACAACATTATTACAAAAAACATGTTTATTGCTTACAACTAATTGCTTTTTGTAATAGATATTATAAATGCATATAAATACTATCTTGTATATAAATTGCATTTTGTATGATATATTTTCTGAAGATACATATTTACTAAAGATACATGGTTAATATTTAATGTTAAATTTTAAAATATTATCGTTATTTTAAAAACACTATAAAATGTTTACAAACAGAAATATTTTTTAGCTAGAATTACTTTTCTTCTGAAAAGTATATGTATTTGATTATAATAAATTGTGGATTTTTATACACATAAATATAATATAGATGAATGAGAAATTTTATAACGTACAGTAGATCCACTTATATATTATCCATAGAATACCAATGGAGATGATAATTTTCACCATTGTGACGTACAGATATACTCTAAAAAAATGCGATGCAATATAAATATTTTAGTTATCTCGATTATGTTTCTTAAATGTAAATTATATAAATTCTGTTTTATTATTGATATACGTTATCTGTGCTATTTCCAAAATTATAACTATATATAAATCTCTTACAATTTATATACGCTACATTTATCTTATGCATTAATTTCCGAAAAGTAATCAGATGTTTTATTTCCATAATTATAAGATACGTCCAGATTAATAATCGAGTCAAATCTCAAGCCAAACTTTGACCATACCTCAAACCAAACCTAAAGACAAACTTCGAGATAAACCTTGTGAACGTCGCGTGTATATTTAACTGCATAATACATATAATTGAAACCAGAATATGGATTGCAGAAATGCTTGCGATAGTCACGAAGTTTGATTCGTTTCTAGGTTTGAGATTTGGTTCGAAATTTGGTTCGATAATCTGGACGCACTTTTACTTATTATCTGAAGCTGCGAACATATTTGCAAACAACAGTTTTCCAACTGTTTTGTAGAGCAAAACATTCACGATCAGCTCTTCAACATTTACGAAAACTAAACATACTATTTATTATACAATTCTACACCATATTTATTTTGGATTTGTTGCTTTCACATTGATTTTACCGCGCCTAAAGCGAACTTAAAACAAAATTTATTCACAAACAGCAACTGAACAAATTAAAAATAATAATCAACTATTCATAAACAGTTGCAAGTTGTTCATAAACATTTTGTGAACATATCTATATAAAGAATAAAGCAGTTCACAATATATTTTCAAATCGCCTCTTTCGGAAAATGCGCTTTTTACAAGAATCGATTTTTTAAATATTACTCAAATGTAAATATACGTTAATAATAATTTATAATTTTACCTTCTACCATGTGTTCTAACTGCATCCAATTGATTTATGTCTTCATGAAGAAGAAATTTTTTTACACCAATGATACCATATCTACATATTATAAGATTTGTCTTTTAATTGTTTTTATTGTAATGGTTATTTAAAAAGTCACAAATGTAATATACTTACTTGCCAAATTCTCTAATGTCAAGATAGGAATAATCGAAAGAAAACATATCAAGATTTTCAGGCGGTATTAAGGATATCAGAGTCGACCTGTTTGTATTGCTGTATTTCCATTTACGGAATGAAAAATAACTTATAGCGCGACTGACCACGAACAGTTTTCTCTGCAGTCGTACTAACCTAAATTATAATGTTACTCATTAACATAAAATATTTGATTATAATAATACAACTTTAATCTGCATATTACTCAATCTATAGATTCAAAATCCGCAAGTTAAAAAAAACAGATTTTAGATAAAACATGTATATTTTCATAAATACGTAGTTATTATACAAAAATTATTTTTAAATATGTTTAGTAGGGGAAGAAAGTGAGAGAGAGAGAGAGAGAGAGGCAGAAGAGGAGATGTCTATCTAAATCTACATCAATAGATGTGCGCAGAATGATATTCCAAATTATAATGGTACAAAAACTTATATTTTTACTATAAAAAAAGCATATTTTAAATACAACAGAAAATATCGATGACTTTCTTTACAGTTTTTTTAAATTTAATTTAGGGAGAATTTAGGGGGATCAGTAACGTACGTTTCAGACTGATTGTTGTGTTGAAAGTCCGAAAGTTATCGGCGCGCAATCATATCTGAAATCAATTTATTTAATTGTATTATTCGAAATATCTAACTTTAACCGAAATGATGGCGTTCTCTGTCGCATTTAATGTATTCATATGCATGGTTATTCTAAAGAATCTAAAAAGTATATTATTTCAATTTGCGGAGTATATAAATCTTGCCGATTGAGTAAAATATACATGAATAATTTATATTTGCTTAACTATAGTTAAAATAATATTTAAATTAAATCTTACATAGGTCGTCGTCCAGAGAATTTTAAAATTAAATCTATTAATATGGCTGGCAGAATATGCAATAATATCGTTAATACATAGAACAGAACAAAATTATCAGTCAATATTGTATGAGGAGTCCAAATAGTTCCTTCCAAAGGCAATTCATTTGAAATACTATATAACAATTCAATACAATTTTGATATGTTACATATTTCTGACTTGTACTGTTTACAACAAAAACCGTAGAATCTGCTGTAAAGCTAATAATAAATAAAATTACAAATTAATTAATAAATTAAAAAATAAATAATAATAGTTTTGAAATTTACGTAAAGTTTCAAAATTTGTATTAAGTTTCAAAAATAATCCAAGTTAAATTTTCAAATTATGAGATGCACAAAATAATATAAAACGTTATTAATTATTTCAATCTCCCATCTGAATTGAAACTTATTCAAGTTCAAAATGTTATTTCTAAATACTGCAAGTCTACAGTATTATAGAATGTAAAACATTATTCGCCATGTGGTACTATAAGATCACTGTGTCATTATTTTTTTTATGTCTATAATTTGTGTTTAACGATTTCTTTCTGAGGTGAAAACAATGGATATAAAATGTATGAAATTTTATTTTTTTTTCTAACAAAATTTAAATTATTTGTTGTCTCATTTCTTGCAGTTGATTTCGAGACACAATCAATTAATATCATTAAAATTTTTTTAATATATTATTGGTTAATATTAGCTTATTTTGGCTGATTGTTTGATTAACACTATTAGATGATATTGTATTGCTAAAATATCCTTAAAAGATTCTTTAAACATCATGAGGAATTATGTCTCACAATTGGATAAATAAATTTGAGCAACCGTGTATAATGTATCTTGTGTTAAACTGATTAGTTAAAGACGTAGAAAATTGGATGCCAAAAATAAGAAAGACCACTAATATTTAATAAAAAAGTAACGGAAATTGTTTTTTCCAATAGACGACAGTAACTTGGAATTACTTTTTATAATGAGTAACGAATAATAATTGTAATATACATTAGAAGAATTCCCAAATTTGCAAAATAGATTAAATAAGACACAAACGGTTATATTGTAAATATAAATTGAGATAGTTGAGAAGTAAAGAAAACTTTTGTATAATTTAATACAATTAAAAATGCATGCATATATAAGTTGATGATCATACGTTGTTAATCCTAGCTTCCAAGATGTGACTATTATAGCTTTGATGACAATGTCTACTGGTATTACATCTTCATTAACAGTTTTATTCAAGTAGCCTACTCGTATTATTCCTTTTCCACCACCAATAAAAAGCCCTATTGGACCATAAACGTTATCTATCCATCCTGGCATTGGTTCTTTTTCTGTTATCGTCACTACAATATGAAATATATTTGTTAAACTATTATTATTAGAATATTTTAATTCTAATAATGTTATTAAGTAATTTCTTATCTATTATAGAACCGAAATGGGAAAATTGTAAAACTCTATACTTGTAATTTTTTATTACAAATAAAAATATATTCACACAAATATTACAAAAATATTTCAGATATTTTGTGTGTGTGTGTGTGTGTTGTGTGTGTTGTGTGTGTTATTTAAAAATATATTTTTTACTAATTATAATATGTATATAACAGATATCATATAATTTTAAATAAAAGTATACCATTTTCTAAGTTACAATAAAAATTTAAATATACATCTTTCAATTGATTAAAAATCGATACTAGTCAAAAAAATTAGTATTAAGGATGCAGTATTTGAATTTTGAATATTCACGACATACTTTTAAAAACTACATATAATTGATTTTTTTAAAATACATATAATTAAAAGTATAATATGAAAAAAAAGTAAAACCAGTATATTCGTTATCTTAATTAAAATATTGTTTCAACTGAGAATTTAAAAAATGTTTTACTAAAATTAAGCTATTAATTTTGAAATATGTGTCATTTCTATCAATGGAACATATGTTCTATCATTCTACTTTCAGTGCTAGTATTATTTTCACAAAAAATTATTCTAATAGTACAATTATTTCAGTAAATTTTATTGTAAACAAAATGAATATAAAATATTTGACATAGTACACAAAGTACCGTATTAAAATAAAAATTTATTTTTAATAATTAGAAGAAAGTTACACTTACCAATGGAAGGTCTTACAATCGCGCAAGGCAAGGAGGAAGAATATTTCTGTATTACACTTTCCGCCAAATTTTTCGAAAAAATGTACGTATTGGGAATGTAATCTAAATATCTATATATAATTTCAAGTGTATACAGAATTAGAAAATCTCATTAAAAGGGTGATATAAAATAATAGTTCTAAGAAAACAAATTTTTTAAATATATCTCTATAATGCATAAAATTTATAGGCGTGATTTTCGTTTGATCAACTTACTTTGCTGTAAAAACGTTTAAAGTGTGCTCATCCAACAATTCAGCTATTTCGATCATTTTCTGCCAATCAGCTACAGGTGGATATACTTTTTCTTCAATGATTGGCTCATTTACGTGTGCAAACGCTGTACTAACATACACTAATGCCTTCAACAGATAAGAGCAATTCATTTGAAAAACCTTTTAAAAATCTTCTTTAGCATAAAAAAGTTTAAATAATAACAATATGAATAGTGAGTTTATACATTGTGAAAAATTTCTAATTGAAAATAGGTGAATCAGAATTTTCTGATTAAATTAATTATAATCCTAATTGAGATAATCAGATGTTCACTTATGATTACAGGAAAATTAACTGATATGATCGAAATCTTAAAGTTGATTTGTTCATTTTCAACTACAAATTTTTCTTAGTACAGATATTTGATAATACATCATAAAATTTCAATTGTGTTATTATTTATCTAAATTTATTTTATTTTATTATTATTAATTTTTTTATTATTTTAATATTTTATTATTATTAATTTATTTTATTTTATTATTATTTGAAAAATACGCCATAATCATTAAGATTAGAATTTGTGATTGAAATATGTGTGTATATAAGTTGTTATAATATTACTGCAACGTAAAGTGTACCATGAGACACAACGAATTATTCATTAATACAAAAATGCACAATTACAGCTACTCTCTCTCTCTCTCTTTCTCTCTTTCTTCGACTTACTATTAAATTCTTCATCCTTTGCGCTAAAATACAGATGTCCCTTGTTGCTCTAGTATTGGCAAATATGGCATATTTTAAACTGTTATTAAATTTTACATCTCCCGCTGCATGTATTATTATAGTCACTCTTTCAATTAGCATTTGTCTGTCCGCAACAGGTAAACCTAATTCTTTCTCACTGACATCGCCAGAAATTGGAATCAATTTCTCAAAATTCGAAGGTTGCTCTTTGAGCAGTTTTTCGTATAACTGAAATAAAAGAGCATTGTAATTTAAGCAAATGTTTTTGTTGTAATATTTACAATAATTTTTAAGATTTTTAAATAAATTTACAACAAATAGAACATTTAATTTTAGTGTTTATAACAATTTTACTTTAAATGTATTCCAATACTTTATTACATAACACTTATTTATATAAGAGGAATATGAAAAAAGACTATTTTTGGCCCAAAATGCTAAATAATCATTGAATGGCAATTAATCATTGGAAACTTCGTGAAATCGTCTAGAAAAAAAATAACAATTATTTATCTACTAGATCTGGAGATTGTCTTGAAAATCAAGATTTATTACTGATTGCACTGAAATAGTTTCTAATATTTGTTTAGGGCACTTTCCTCGGATCTGATGGATAAATAATTGTTATTTCCCGTTTTTTAAAGGATCGCACGAATAATTCTTAATGATTAAAGGCTCCGTATCTATACTTTGTTCAACGACAGATTGGTCACTCCTAGAGGAAGCGATATAGCGGACAAAGTGAATATGATTCTGTATCTATATGTAAATACGTGTTTTTTTAGGCGTGTTTGGTCCCAGACTTATTGTTAGAAAACTGAACGGGTAAAATAATATCGACATTCTCACTTTTCTTGCTATGCCGACACCTATGCTCGAAGGATAATTAATCTTATTCAAATGGCCCCTTTCACATTTTCAATTAATATTGTATATATAACTTTTTTAAATAATAATACTACAATACCATAAAGAAAATTTTTTTGTCAAAAATTTAAATGTAACAATATAATATTTTATTGTAATATTTAAAAAAGTTTAACAATCTTGTGTTATGCGTTGTTACAAATACCTCACATGTCGTTTAATGGACGTCGCGTGAATGTCGTAATTTGTGTACAAGAGTCGATATTAAATATAAATATTTATTTAAATTCTAATAATATTTTGTTATCGATTTAACAACTATTTCAAATATTTCACTGTCTATGTTACTAATTGTAAGCTAAATGATGTATAGACACTTTTGTGCGACATACACATTCCGATGGAGTGTGCTGTGTGAGACATTATTATGAAAAGTCTGTTTTTATATATTCAACTTACCGGTAAATTTAATATTTTTTCAAGCCTTTCGTTAATACTTAATCCTTTCTTCGGTCGCATTAACAGAAATATTTCACGAACATCTGGACAAGATCGTAATACCTTTTCGATAAAAACTTTACCCAAAAATCCTGTTGCACCAGTCAAAAGTATACTTTGTCCAGCGTAAAATGCAGGAATCGACTTGGCAGGATCAACAGTCACCTTTTCCATTATTTTTAAAATAAAGCTGATAGAAGCACTTAGCAACGCAATGCAAAACGTATAGGTAGTGATATTTGATTGTCACTTTTACTATGCCAATAAATGTTCATATGAACAATGCTTATATATAAGATTGACTACTAAGTACAATTTAAATTATTTCTGTCTTATAACCGTAAGATAATGAATACAATAAGATAATCTATGCTTTTAATAAACCGAAAACAATTTTAAACGTGTAATCCAAAGTTGAAAGTGCAAGTATACAATACAGTTGTCCTTATTCGCGGATTTATTATACGAGAATTTGCTATTCACTGTTGACATACCTGTGACCACATTCCATTATTCACGACAAACATTTTAATATTCCGGGATACAAATTATCGTACGTATGTACGTGATTGCACTTTGATTATAGTTTCAAGACGTCCGGTTTCACAAATTAAATTATTTTCCGATAAAAAAATATTTCTATTGATTACACAAAATTATAAATCACTGACTGATTGTTTATATTCTACATCATTCTACATGATGGAAAAATCAAACTTTAAGTTAAGAATTATTGTTTCATAAAATTGCAAATAATAAATATGTGTAAAAAGTACTATATTTTTTTAAATCTTGTCCTAAACAAATGAAACAGAAAACAAGATTTTATAAATATGTAAAAAAAGATATGTTACAATTCATTGTACATGTATAATACAACAATAACAAAGAAATCTCTTATATCTGCAAATTCTTTATGGAAATGGCGTTAATTTTTATAAAGATATATGTGGCCTATAAACAGTTAAAATTTCTCTGTACCGTGTAAAATTTATGTTCACACATAATTTGTTTATACTATAGCTCAAAAATCCATTATTGAACCTTGTGTCCATGACATCTTTTGTTTGCCACATTATAAGCTACATCATATGTAATATATGCAAAAACTGACTTATTTCAAAGAGATCCAATTTTCCATATAATTACAGCGAAATCTAAGTATTAATTATATGGAAAATTGCGGGTCCCAGTGAAATAAGTTAGTTTTTATTCAAATTATTATAAATTTGTACACAATAATAGACTAATATACATATGATAAAGATAAACGGAAAATTATTTTAAAATGTTACATATTCATCTAGTTCAATAAGTACTTATAAATACATCTTTAATACACATTTCTTAAATGAAAAAAAATGTTTACGTGTCTATATGCAGGGTGTCTCATTTTAAAGAATCCATTGAAATGTGTCGGAAATACTGCGTTAAATCGAAAAATGTTTCAGACAAAAGTTTTTTTTACTTCGAGAGGGACATAAGATAGTATCATTGATTTGACCTTCGATGGCGTTGTTAAGGTCAGAGCAAGGTCACTTTTTTTTTTAATGGAACCCTCCCCATTTTTTATTATATATTCTTGTAGCTTACCTCGAGAGCTTTTCACAAAATAGTATTATAAAAGATTTTTCCATTAAGTATTTTGTGAGTTATAAAGTTTGAAAGTTACAGTATTGCTTATTGAAAGCTACAATATTTACTTATTGAAAGTAACAGTACCATCGACATTAGCATTACCGAAGGTGTCCGACCGACGGCTTGATTGTTGTTCAGGATCATGACCTGGATAACATTTGTTAAGATTAAGACCCTTGGAGGTTGTTCATCTTATTCTCAATTTTGTAACAAAAACTCATTTTTACATTAAAAAAGTTGTCTACAATTCTATTGCAATCTTTTATAGAAAGAATTAAGTTTTTTAATATATGCAATTTAACATATAAATATACAAGAATTTACTTTGTCTTCAAGAATATCATTATCATTATATAACCCTATATGAGTTAAAATAATGATCAGAATATATTCAATTCTTGTTAGACTTTTACGTTTTTATCGTGTTAAAGACGAGGTATCGCCCTATCTACGTTGTAAATCACATAGATAAAAATCAAGTTAATTTCAGTTAGATTTATTTAAATTCGGTTTTAAATTATGTTTAGCCGTTTTATTGGTTTTTATCATTTTACCCTTCCAGCGGTAATTTAAAAAATATTTTGTAATTTTACTTTTGTTGAATTTCAACATGGAAAGTAATGCGATAAATGTATATATGTGAGCTCTTTACGTCGGACTGAGCATATTCATTATCTGAAGAAGAATTAATGCTCTCTCTCTCTCTCTCTCTCTCTCTCTCTCTTTCATACCCACAATAAAAAACAGATTATTAAAAAGTTGATGCGATCTTATGTCTTGACAATAGAGGAGACGAAAATAAAGTACCGTACTAATATCATCAATATTTCTAATATCGAATGGATATGTATGTTTATGTAGCCGCAAGGCAAAATTCTTTAGATAGATCGGCATTGGTTTGTTAGTGGCTTGCCGATTCTTGCATAACGTCCACACATGCAAGAGCAAAAGTTACTTTTTTTATTCATCAAGCAAGTATTATTGATCGCATAAAATCTGAAATATTTTTTTTATAGCGAAGCTGTTACGTATTATTACAAAAACACAATAAAATTTATTTTTATTAAGTACTTTCGAAGTTATGAGATTTGAAAGTTATAATACTGTTTTGTGTTGTGTGTTAATAAATAACAATAATGAAAAAATGAGGACATTGAAATAAAATTAACTTCAATATTTCTCTATTATGATCAATATTTAAAAAATTATTTACAATTTAAAAAATACACTCCCTTTTTCCGAATATTGATCATAATATTGCAAGAATCGACAGAAAGAAATGACCATGAATTGCAGAAATGTTTTTATTTTCACATTCTTCTAAAAAAAATACAAAGTGAATATGAAATATGTTTTACTTTTACTGGTATAAAATAAATTAAAATAATGTTTAATCATTATCTGATGAATTTACGTAAGATTTTTTAAACATAAATATGTTGTAATAAAAACACATTATTGTCCTGCCATTTTCGTTCAGTCTATTATGATCAATATTTAAAAAATTATTTACAATTTAAAAAATACACTCCCTTTTTCCGAATATTGATCATAATATTGCAAGAATCGACAGAAAGAAATGACCATGAATTGCAGAAATGTTTTTATTTTCACATTCTTCTAAAAAAAATACAAAGTGAATATGAAATATGTTTTACTTTTACTGGTATAAAATAAATTAAAATAATGTTTAATCATTATCTGATGAATTTACGTAAGATTTTTTAAACATAAATATGTTGTAATAAAAACACATTATTGTCCTGCCATTTTCGTTCAGTCTCTGGTAAAAATTTCATTAATGATTTTAAATCATTTATGCTCTTTTTCCATACACTGAAAAAAATACATGTAATTTTACATGGAAATTACATGTTCATGCCTAGAAAATTACCTAAATATGATTGGAAATTTACAATTTTCAGTAAATTTCCAATCATATTTAAGTAATTTAGATAATTTTCCAGTCATAAACATGTAATTTCCACGTAAAATTACATGCATTTTTTTCAGTGTAGATTATATCATTTTCATCACCACAGGACAATCGAAAAACGTTCATATTTAACTAATGTAAGCAACATCAATTCTTTGTTTATTTGCGCTAATCTCCGAAAAAAGGGCCTAAGTAGAATTGTGCCTTTATTCCGCCAATCCCCTCAATTATAAGTTTTTATTGTTATTATTTACTGTCATAAATTTTCAATGTTGAAAAAAGGCCTTGAGAATTATAATAGCAAGTCCATTTTTTAAGATCACATAAAGATCTTCAATATTTTATAAATTGAATTAAATGATTATTTTTACGTAATCTATGTTGTTCCGTTAATATCATCCTTTATGAAATGTAACAATTTTGACAATTTTCTATAAAATTAAGTTAGTACACTTTTGATGATTGATAGGGTAATATTGTTTAACGCATTTGTGATAATAATTTTAAAAAATCATGTGTTTGTGTTGTGTCACTTTTGAAGTAATGGAGCGAAATAATGTTATATTGTCTGATAGCTCTGAAATCTAAATATTAATTAATTATATAATAAATCATTTATAATAAATCAAAATTTTTCCTAGTAAACGGGAATAAATTAAAATAGACTGAAATTTCTTATCTATACAATTTCTTTATCTATACAAATACATATTTTAAATGAGAAAAACTTTTTTTGGATTTAATTGGATTCAATTAGATTCAATTAGATTCAATTGGATTCAATTGAATTGAAAAACTGCATTTTTTATCCAGAATTTTGAATTAAGAAGTATTTACAAGACACAAGAGAAGCCAATATTATTTTTAGATTGAAAGTCATAGAAATATACTTCATACAATTCTTATAAATAAATGAAAATACATTTGCATTCATCTTAACGTTCACGAATACGTATTTTTGGAAATCTGGATCCATTTCAATCTATTCTTATTTACTAAGTGATTATAAATTGAGAAAAAGAGGATTGGAAATTGAATTGAATGATGCATAAGTTCTTTCATATTTATATATCGATTTACATAATTGTAGGCTTAATTTTTTTAATAAATAATTGCAACACTATACATATTTGAAGCATAACAAGTATTATCTATGCACATAACTAGAAGTTGCCTTTTGTATAGACATTAAAAATCCATTACAATTTTATTTATACGTAAATAATAGTTTATCTGCTACTTTTTGTAAGTAGTCTTCCGTATTATATAAATATTCATAAAAAATTTCTATATTAAAAAATTTCTATATAAAAAATTTCTATATAAAAAATTCTCTATAATATAAATAATCTCTTTATTTTGAAAATACAATAAGTATCTCCAAAGAGAAACACATTTTAATTAAAAAATTATCTTTTTTGTGCATAACATATGTTTGATCATCATAAAATATAATTTGATAAATATGAATATATAAGTTTAAGTCAGCAATTTTATAATGTACCGGCGAAGATCCACTTATATGTTATCCACAGTACTCCAATAAAGATAATAGTTTTTACCATTCTGACGAACAGATACACTCTAGAAAATGGAATAAATGCGATTAATATACACACATTCAAATTTTGATTATATTGTGCCTCTTGAATGTATATTATACAAATTCCATCTTATTATTTCATATGCACTAAAACTTTTATATCAACGACTTTTCCTTCTTCTTTGATATTTAATTCTAAATTATTTTGCGTTATACAGGATATATTGACAACTATAAGTAATTTATGTTCAATATTTCTACAAATAATTATTAAAAATATCTTACTCTATCATTCAGATAACAAATATATTATTAAATTTGTAATTAACACTTTAAAATTTTTGACATATTTATCTGAGGGTATAATTACTAAGAATGTAAATGTTAATCATATACCTATTTTTTATACATGATTAGATTCGTTTTAATTTGTTACTTTTTGAAAAGTAATTAGTTTAATTCTGTCACTATGTTATTTAAAAGGAGCCAATTTTTTAATTAAATGTCACAAACATAAATATATGCAAACAATAATTAAGAATAATTATGAACTGTTTTTACCTTTTATTATATGCTTTGACTGCATCTAATCGATTTATGTCTTCGTGAAGAAGAAACTTTTTGATACCAATGACAACATTTCTTCATACCATAAAATAAACATTTATTGGCTTTAAATTGCCTTTATTGTAAATATTATCTTTATTGTAAATATTATATTTAAAATTAAAAATGTAATAACTTACTTGGAATACGCTTTAATATCATGACTGGAAACGTCAATAGAAAACGCATCAAGATTGTCATGTGGTACTAAAGATTGCAGAGTCAACCTATTGGCATTGTTGTATTTCCATTTATGGAACGAAAAGTAACTCAGAGCACGATTGGCCACATATATTGCTCTCTGAAGTCGTACTAACCTAATTTACACTTTACTTGAGGTCTGTTTCGAAATACGCACAAAGCACATGGTGCATCATTTGTCCTTGTTGTTCACCGAAGAATAAGAAACGATAAAATGATACCTCATGCGCTTTATGCGTAATTGGGAACGCATCCTTATTAACAAAAACGGTTTAGCTAATACATCTTTGACTATGTAATCCGGATTGAGAGAATCCAAAAGTATAATAAATTAGGGAAAAAACAAGAAGTTTGGAAAAAATAAGTACATTTTTATAGATACATAATCATTGTATACAAAAGTTTTCTATAATATATATAATAGATGTAAATAATAAATAAACAGGAAGAATATATATTTACGAAATTATATTTACGTAAATTATATTTACGAAAGAGGAATATCAATATGACCATTTTTTAGCTCGCTCAGGATTCTCAGAAAATAATTTTTTTTGTATCGTAATATTAGGAATGTTAAAAACAGGAATGTTAAACATTTTATTATTAGATTCATTATTAAGAATGTTAAAAATAGCCATTAAGTGAAAAAAAACTCGATCTATAATAGGTAATTTGTCTAGATATACTGCTATGGTATCTAAATCCTTTTCATGATTAATAAGTGAATTTTTTTTATATAATAAAATATTTTCTCTCATTATACTGCTGTGTCGTGAATCTGTAACTGTTAGTTGCCTATAGACTGAAGTCTGCCAAAAACTTGTGATTATTTAATATTTTTCTTATTTCATCTTTTTTCATTTTACTTTACAATTAGATTCTTTTTTATTTTTTAATTTTAAATTTTTTGGTGAATCTCAATGAAATTTTGTATAAGTCATTTTTAGTACTTAAAATATTTGTATAAAAAAATTCATATTTTTGTTATTTTAAAAATTTTTGTTTATAACAATAAAATTAATAACAAATAAAATAAATAATCTGTGTTACTCAATAAATAAAAATGTGTTACTCAATAAAAACAGAATGTGTTATGAAAACAACTTTTACATATATAATATATAGTTTGTTTAAAACGTAAATATTAATATATGTGTTTCATGCTCTTATGACCTCCTTAAGCATCTTTTGATGATCAGAATTCGATGATTGTAACTTAGGTAATAGCTATGCTATAATATATCTAGACTATGACTTTATGGATACAGTTTTATTCTTTTTAATAGTTATTTTTGACATTCCTAATAATTATATAATACAAAAAAGAATAATTTTCTGAAAATCCTGGACGTACTAAAAAGCGGTATTATGAATTTCCTTGTTAATGATAAAAAAAGGTGAAAATGAAGATGAGGGAAATCTTATTTTCATTTTCAACTTCTGGTAAACTAGTTTAATATTTAAATTAAAACTTACATAGGTTGGCGTCCAGCGAACATTAAAATCAAATCTATTAATATAGCTGGTAGAATATGTAATAATATTGTTAATATATAGAATAGAACAAGATTATCGGTTAATATTACATGAGGTGTCCAGACAATTCCTTCGAAAGGTACTTCCTTTACAACATTAAACAATATATAAATACTATTTTGATATGTAAAATATCTCAGAGTTGTGCAATTTACAACTAACGATGTGGAATCTGTAATGCTAATAACAAATAAAATTATAAATTGATTAAGAAGTTAAAAGGTAAATAATAATAGACTTCCAATTTGCATAAAGTTTTATAAAATTTGCAATGAGTTCCAGAAAAATAATTTAATACTTATGAAATTTTTTATTATATAAAACACAACATATTATTAAAAAGTATTAATCATTTAATATGGTTCGACAACCTCCGAAAATATAAATGCATAAAAAAACTGTTAATAAATTATTTAAAATTTTTTGTTTTATCTAACACAAGGAGAAAATATAAATAAAGAACGATCAAAAAGGGTGGATTTTTCGCCTGTTTTTTAGTCCTCGATTTTGGAATCGAATTTTATGCACATGATGAGACATTAATTATAAAGAAGTTTTCGTTGAGTATGCGATTGGATCCAGAAATATAAAGCGTCAAAGGTAGAGGAAAGTGGGGGAACTGTGCGCAGCAGGTAATTGTGCACATCCTGGTTTGGTACTTTTCCAATAGATGAAGACATTACCTATTGGAAATTTAGTGGTGAAATTTTTACGCAGGAGGTCGTCTTCTTAAGATATAATTATAAAAGGTACTACGTAAATATGTTGCTAACTAGAGAAATACAAAAAAGTAAAATCATATCTTTTCTTGTTATTTTAGAGTTCAGAAAATAAGGTAGTAGGTCCGTATTTTTTATTTGTTTGTTTAAAGTTGCATATGTTATTAAAGTACGTTATTATGTACGTCATTTGAGTTGTAATTTATTAAGTTTGGTTAGGAAGTGTTGAAGTAATCGTATTTCATATCGAGTCAGGTCGCGGCGGACAACTGTGCGCAAGCGTTGGGAAATGCGCACAATTGCCCAACTTCCATATACTATATAACTAGCACTAATTTTTTCATTTTTTCTTTGTATTATTATTGTATTTTATTTTGCCAAAGTCTATGTGCATGATTATTATATTAATTTTGTATTTTTACTTTAATATATATAATATGTATTTAAAATATATTTAATATATATTTATATAATAAATATGATTTCTTTGTTCAACATCCAAAATTCATTCATTTCCTACGACTTTTGCTTTGCGCATAATTATCCAACCCATGCGTACGATTACCCGACGCGCGAGAAATTTTTTCGCTTTTCCGTTTTTTCCTTTTTGCCAAATATATTCTTATTGAATAAAAATTTATTCAATATGAGAATACTTAATGGTAGAAGAATGTTTATAATATCTCTATTTCCAGACTTATATCGCTTTAAACTTGGAAAACCATTCCAAGACAATAAATTTCGCTCCAGGTGCCCACAATTTCATCCACTATCATCAACTACTAAGAAAATATGACACTAACAATGTTTTATAGCACGAAATTTGTTGAAACTTTTTGAAAGTCGGTACTTATGAGTTCTTTGAGTTGCTAATTACGAACCTGATGTCAGATTTGAAAAATTCAAGACGGCGTATATAATATGGCGAACACAAATACTGAAACAATCATTTACTTCTATGTAAACTGTTATATTGTTGTTCTTTTAGCTAGCAAATTGTGAATTTTCTATGAGGTTTACCTTTACCTTTATCAATGGCAGGATATCAAAAAATCATACTGCCGAAGAAGCAAGATCAAAATGTCTGCAGTGAAAAAGCTTCTAAATATACCAAGTAAAACTATTACGTTATCCTTTATGCGCTATCAACTTGAATTTGATCTATTTTATGAAAAAATAATCAAAAGAATACTTTTTCTACTAAAAAATTGTCAATGATTACTTTCCAAAATAGAAAATTCGTAGTCAGCAAGCTGAAGAAACCACAACATTACAGTTTCCATAGAAGTGAATAATTATTCTAGTGTTTGGGTCGTCATATTGTATCCGACATCTTGAATTTTTAAAATCTGACATCAGATTCGTAATCAGCAACTCAAACAATCCATAGATACCGACTTTCGAAAAAATTCAACAAAAATTCATATTATAAAGCATTGTTAGTGTCACATTATCTTAATAATTGATGACGCTTTTGACGCTTTATATTTCTAAATTCAATCGTACGCTCAACATAAAACTGTGATTAATCTCTCGTCGTAAGTTATCATTTGGCATAAAATTTGATTCCAAAATCGAGGACCGAAAAACAGGCATTTTTTGCGGTCGTTCTTTACTTAAGAATTGGTTTTCAATTCTTTTAAATGTAATCTCTTTGATGATTCGACGAAACTAAAGAAAATATAGCTATCATATAATAGTCTCTTAAGATGTAACAGAATTAATGGAGTCGTCTATATTGTAAACACGGATTCATATATTTCCAAATAGAAAAAAAAGTTTTGCATTTATAATCTAATATAGTTAAAAATGCAAGCATATTATATACCTGTGATCATACGTGGTTAATCCTACCTTCCAAGTTACGATTATTATAACTTTGATGACAAAGTCTACTGGTACTGCATCTTCGTTAACAGTTTTATTCAAACATGCTACTCGTAGTATTCCTTTTCCAGCGCCAATAAAAAGTCCTATTGGCCCATAAACATTATCTAACCATCCTGGAATAGGTTCTTGTAACGTTGACATTACTAGGATATCAGACACAATTGTTAAATTATTGTTATTATTACATTATCACTCAGCAAACAAGTTGATATTATTTGTCATCAGCTTATTTGCCGAGTACTCTCGATTCTGATGGTACTATTAAATTATTTCTCTTGCATATAAATTATCAATCAAAATTAGGTAAAAATAGATTTATAAATCTCTATAAATATATATTTATAAAGCTCTATAAATATATATTTATAAAGCTCTATAAATATATATTTAATTTTTATTTGTTTAATTTTTCAAGTGCTAATAAACATCAATCAAAATGCAATTTATGATAACATATATCTTAAAAAATAAATTATTAATATGGGGGGGGGGGGG